AGGTTAAAGAAGATATGAAGTGCAGAAACATAGCAGTTCAACGTTCATTGTCTTTGTTTATAAATTTATTTAATTTATATTTAATTTGTACTCAAGATCTAACTAAACTTCACTATTTTCAATATTATTAAAAAATATAAGCAATATCAATCAATCATTCTTATACATCACATTAATTTTAATTCATTATTCATCCAATCACATAATTTTAAATAACTATCTCTTCATATCATCCCTTTTCTATTCTAAGTCAAATCAACTTTAACTAATTTATTTTAAATATTATTTTAATATAATTTTAAAACCATATTAATAACTAATTATATTAATTTTTTAAAATTAACTCTGATTAAAAAAAAAAAAAAATCATTTTGAACGAATACATATATGAAAAGGGTAGCTTGAATTTAGTGCAGTATACCCAAAATAATTTAATACTACATAAATTACTGAAACAAAATTTTATGAGAAGGATGGATATATTTACCAAAAAGAATGCAAGTCAACCCACGTTTCTTTCTTTTGTCGGGTACATAAACAGAGCAAAAACTCTCTTCCATCCTTCTCTCAACAAAGCAAAGAATTGGACAAATCAAATTGAAAAGCTAGCTTATGGCCGACAAATAATTTAATAACTTATAATTAAATTTTAAGCTTATAACTGATCAATTTTATTATGAAGCCAACTGTTGGTTTAATAGTGGAGTCGACTTTCTTATTCTCTGATTACTTCAATAATACTAATAATTTTATTAATATGGTATGGTTTACTACTTGTATATAGAAGATTGGTTCTACTATAGAGCCAACTGTTGACTTTATAGCAAAAATGTATAACCGATATCATATTACTAGTGACTAAAAAGGTAGCTAATATAATATAATAAAATCTATATATATAATTGCTGGCTCATGAGCATTTAATAAAATCAATTAAATTATATATTTAGCAATATAACTTTTTCCCTCCAAACCCCGTTATTTTTTTATTTATATAACCTCTATTTAATTATTAGATAATCAGCACACTAATTACTTCAATATTACAAAAATCATTTTAAATGTTTGATTTACTTACAACTGGCCATATAATGTGTTGACTATTTAACGTGATTAGATGTTATTATTGTGATTACATTTAAATTAACTTCTTTTAGAAAATAAAAAACGTGTTTGAAATTTCTAAATAAATAATAAATAATTCACAACAAAAAATACATACCAAAATACACATTACATTCAATATGATAAACGTAATTTAAAAAAATAAATATTTCAACTCCTTTTATTGTAAAGTTGGCCTGCAAAAAAGTGCAAGAAAAATCATTAATCATTATATGCATACAAATAACTCACAATACTTTATTTATATCTGTGCAAATGCACAAGTTGAATACTAGTTAGTTGTTAAGTTGGCTAAATAAAAAGTTCAA